AAAAAAAAAAAAACAAAAAACAAAACTTTCTCCCCAAAATCGTGGTCCCCGCGATGCCCCTTGGCCCCCCTCTAAGGCTGAACGGAATGGAAAAGATGCAGCTGGAAAAGCGAAGTGATGCTGAGGAGCCTCTTGGACCCTTCATACATTCGCTTGCGTGGGGGGTTCTCCCACCCTTCGAAGCAAAGGGTCCTATTTTTATAACAGAGCTGGAGAGAACGTGCGTTTGGCTATATATCCTTATAGGGAGCCCACATGGATGGGAGTGAAAAAAAAAAAAAAACTACATGATCCTTCCTACACAGGGAAATTTATATTCACCAGCAGAAAGGAGGGAGCTGGGGAGGATTTCGCAGATGACGGGAGAGGAAGTGGGTGACAGTGGAGGGGGGGGATCAACCCGCTAGACGCCAAATACGGCTCCTTATGGACCGCGATGGTGTTTGTGGCGCAGAATGTATTTTAGCAGACAGGCAAAGACTTCCCTCTGTGCGTTCGATAGAATTGGGACGCCAGATTTTGCCTACAGGAGCCCAGTCAGCTCCAGGCGCTGCTTTATGGATGCCACCTCCAAAGGCAGCGGATGACAGGCAAATGCATCGGCCTGGATCGGCTCCCACTGGATTTCCCGCATATTCAGTCCCCACTTTTAGGAACGCAAGGAGAGGAGGGGAGGTTCAGGCCGTGGGGCATCCCGTGCAGCATTCACTCCCTTTCCCTCCTCGTCTCCGCAAATTTTCTCGGAAGGCTCCGCAGCTGCCTAGAAGATTCCTCCCCCTGCCCCCCACTCCCCTTTCTGAATACGAAAGTGAAACTCGAATTAAATTCACCAAATTAAATTCACCGTCGCTTCGAATTAGATCCACCCAGCTAATCTGTGGCTCCAAACGCCCAAGTAACTGGAGCGTGAAGCGAGGCCGCGCTCCGGCTCCTGCATAAGTGGCCTGATTTGCACGAGCCCCCGGCTGCTGCGAGGGAGGTCGCGGCGAGGAAGCTCATTACTATTTATTAGGCACTTTCCCGGCAGCAGCAGGATTGTCTGGCGGGCAGGACAGTGCTGGGCGCATTTTTTTAATATATATTTTATTTATATATATTTTTTGTTAATTCTTGCTCTGTAAAAAAACCCAGTTCCCTATATATAAAACAAAAAAGCTAAATTGGCATCAACACACACACAGGGAACAGCAACACGGGCTCCAGAGAGTGTGGGCTCCAAATGAATCATGGCCCACCTGTTCTATTTTTAATCTTTTTTTTCCCTCTAAAGCACAAATCACATACACCACCATGTCCTGCCATCCAGGAGGGGAAACTGGGGATCCTTTCCTTATGATGTGGCCTCAGAAGCACAAGGTACGTGGGCAGGTTGCAAAAACCACCTAGCAGCTACTCAAAGTCTCCCTCCTGCAATAACTGCATTGCAACACACACTATAAATAAATATATATATTTATGTATAGTATATGTATATATATGTATGTATACTAACTATTGCAACAGAGCAAACTATTTGCATGGGGTGATGGAGGGGTATTTATGTGCATATTTGAAAGTCTGTTCATCTCTTTGCACTTCCAAAAAAAACCAAAAAGGCAAAAAGAATCAACGGGGCCCTGGGGAAATGGAGCAAATTGTCCACAAGGAGAAGCCAGGACTTTGCAAAGGCCAGCGAGGAAGCAGAGCTGCTCGCCCGCAGATGCCAGAGTGTTTTCGGATCAGCCTTGGGACAGCTGCTGTTCTCGATCCGCTGGGTATTTGCGCATGTGAAACTGTCCCGGAGCGGGAAGTGCAATAGGAGGGTAAATAAAACATGGGAGAGCGGCTCTGTCTGGCAGCACATCGGGTGGCTTTAGGGTGCACAGACTCTGCGCGTCGGGCGCTGAGCGGCTGCGGCTTCTCCTCTTACCCTCTCCGGTTTCTCTCCCGCCCCGCGCCGGACGGCTTGTCCTCGCCTCCAAGACGGGATGAGCGGCAGACGGACGGGGACATCGGGTGCTCGGAGCCACCGGGACGCGGGTGCAAACGCTGGAGGAAATCCCCCCGCTCGGTTCCTGGCACCGGGGACAGATCGTCCGCGTTCGCAAACGTCGCGCGTGGTAATTGGACCTGATGCGCTCAGCAAACATCTTCCTAGTGCCAAAAGCCAGCTCTGCTAGCTTTTCCTTAACAGCAAACATTTTATTTTTTATTTCAGAAGAACATGGGCTTTAAGCCTGGTTAGCACCCTATGTAGTGCAAGAGGCTTTGGAAATTTCCTTGGAATCCATGCGGAGGAAAGTGGTGCTAAGGATGGGAATAGCGTTGGTGGAGGGACCTGTGCTGACACAAGACACAGCAAGGGATGCACAACAAGCGGATTGGCTTCAGTAGCCTTGGAAAAGGAGCTAATCAGGAGCGCCCAATATGTGGCAGATAAAACACATTCTGCAGCAGCGTAGGAGCAAGTCAACTCAGCAGCTCAAAGGAGCTGCTAAAAACAGAAAAAAAGCACCCAGAAATATTCCAAGCTGCTGGATTTCTGCCTTAGCTAAAGACCTTTGGTTACAATGAAGGGAATGACAGTGCTAGAGGTGGATTAGAGAAGCAGGAGAGACAGATGCGTTGCCGGCCATGACGATTAGGTGGGAGAAGGAAGGAAGGACGGGAGTTGGATTTAACTGCAGTTCTCCCTGTTAGAACTAAAAATGCCCTGGGATCCCTCAGGGGTTCCTGGAGAGCAGTGGGTGCTGCAGACTGTGGCCAAATCTTGGAAGGGCCTCACTGGTACGTGGGAAGACCCATGCTACATGGTGCAATGGCAAAGAGTGGGGATGCAAGATGGGCCTCCAGCAGCAAGAGAGCCCCAAAGGAGCCTCCCAAACCTTCGTTCGTAATTAAAAGTCCAGGCAAACAGATAGGAAGGTTTCCCTGTGGCTTCCGAAGCAGATGGTATCATCACTATCATCAAACTGTGGCTAATAGCCTTCAGGGAGCTCCAAAAGCAAGCTGGTTGAGGAAATATTGGTGTCACTGATGTCACCGGGAGTTTTGCAATAGATTTCAAGAAGGTTAGGAGTTTGGTCAAGAAGGTTAGGAGGGTTGTGTTTGGACATCCCCAGAGAGCAGAGAGGAGGATTATCTGGTCTGAAGGAGATGAAAAGTAATTCACGTCTCTGCAAGCCCTGCACTTCCATGTGTGTCCACCACTCTCTGTACGTGATTCGAGTTGCACCTCTGATGCCTGTATCTGTCTTGCCTAACCAGAAAATCAGAGATGCAACCGTTCATTGCTGCTCTTCCAACTCCACCTGACAGGCTGCCCTGGTCTCACAGAAACCACAGGGATGCCAATAGCATGTCCCCATGGTCGGTCGATGAGGCATGTCTTGTGGGACGCTGTCTGAGCAATTCAGCACTGGGCTTTGGAACTTCCCTGTAATTCTTGCGGAGAAAAGTCAGAAACAAGGTTCTGAGACCACAGTGTCTCCTGGAACGGGGACGTTTCTCAACATGGGCACGTCTGCAAGGATGTGTGTGCAATGGTTCCAAAAACTCCTGGCCTTACAAGACAAATCACCCAACAAAGTGCCATGCCATGAAGATACCCAGCAACATGGGGTGGAGGAGGAAAGAGAGGTTTTTAGAAGTGGTATAGATGTGTAGCGTAGATGGCAAATAGGTGGAAGAGAGTGGGAATACTCCAGGCTTGGGAATCTGATACCATTTCTGCTTGAAGTAAGGTCTGGTTGCAACGACTGAAATCCTTGCTACTGAATTCGTACAATTTGAGGTGGTAATTCCCCAACATGATAAATTTGACTTTAGGTTATCTAGTCCCTAATTGCGATGCCACAATCACCTGACACAATCTGGTAAAAAAAAAAAAAAAAAGCTACTGGTTTGAAAAAATATATAAATATATTTATATTTATAGGGTTACTCTACCCCAGCAGAACCTGTGCCAGATCAGATATTACCTGACTAGCACCAAATTGGTGTGTGAAACCATCCTGCCTTCTCCATGCAGAGCTTCCAAAATGCAGGCACGTGCACCTGATCCCAATGCAGCTTGTGCTGCAGCAGGTCCAAAATTTGCACTAAGGAATTAACACCCCAGCCCTCCTCTGTCCGCAGTCCAGGA